CTACCAGGGGTTTCTGGAATCACTTCTCATACCAGCCATGTGTGCTCACACTGGTGCTTCAAGCTTTGCTTCTGAAGAAACCAAGACTACCCAGAGCAAGGCAGCAACCAGTGTAGTATGAAGCATCTACGTATCTCATACATGATGAAGACCTGACATGCTGTCATGTGTGGACAGGGAAATTCATATGCATGAAAGAGGGAAGAATTCAGAGAGGTTCACAGAATTTTAAAGAAAAAAAATGAGAAAAAGATGAACTTCAGGAAAACAAAGAAGTTGTGCAAGAAAGGAAATGCAATGCTGTTCTGCACATCTCAGCTTCGAACAACACTGTCAGTGGACAAAATTTTAACACTGAAAACTACTCTAAAATATCCTACCATAACAACTTTGGCAAATATGAGTAGAGAGCCATCACTAGTCTCCAAACTAAAAAAAAAAAAAAATCATACAGACAACACCTGAAATGGGAAAAGCCTGTGGCGCAGTTTTAGGACAGGAAGCAAAGCCACCGACATTGGAAGTCTCCAACGCATCGCCTCGGGAACCGGCAACGAGGGAAGACCTGCTGCTCCATGGAGACTGCTCTTCTTAAAAACTGGCCTTGGCTGTTTCTGTCGTTTTAAATAAAATGTTCATGTCATGCCAGCTCCACGTTTTCACAACTGACACCCTGGTTACCCACCCTGGAAGGCAGAGACGATGGATCCATTATTTGAATCACTGACGCTCTTCTGTGAGGTCCAGATGTTAATGCAGGCTTTGGCCTTCCTACTGTGAGCACTGTGAGGGATGTGTTTGAGGACTGAACCAGCAGATAGAAAACATTCTTTGATCTCTCTGTCTTACTCTTTCTCCCCCACTCCCAACTTATTAAAAAAATTTTATTTTTATTGGAAAGTCAGATATACAGAGAGAAGGAAAGACAGAAAGGAAGACCTTCCATCTGTTGATTTGCTCCCCAAGTGGCTGCAATGGCTGGAGCTGAGCCAAACCGAATCCAGGAGCCTGGAGCTTCTTCTGTGTCCCCCAGACAGGTGCAGGGTCCCAAGGTTGTGGGCTGTCCTTGAATGCCTTCCCAGGGCACAAACAGGGAGCTGGATGGGAAGCGGGGTCACCGGGATTCGAACCAATGCCCATATGAGATCCTGACTCGTTGGCTGCTAGGCCACCATGCCAAGCCCCCAACTTTCTTTCAAAAGAAAACAAATAAAATTAAAAGTTAAATATTCCTCACTTCTTTTTTTCCCCTCAGAAAAACAGGCTATTTAAAATAAGAGCTAATCTGGATGTACCCTCACAGCCTGGACACTTTCTCACCTGGGGTCTTTCACCACAAAGTTTGTTCACTGTGGTAAGGACAACTGGCCAGGAAGGCAAAAGTTAACAGTGTTTATTAGCAGGTGAAATGCTCCCAAAAGAACCTGATTCTGCACCCTGGTGATTTCTGGAAGGCAATTTACTTGGTGAACTGGAACAGCAGGAAGCAATCCAAGATGACTGTACAGGGCTGACCTATTTCCCCTGAATGGACATTTACGATTTGTCTTCAGCTTTTTGACCTCAAAATCTTAAAGTCAAATAAATTGGGTGAGTAGAAGCTCAGCCTTAGTTACCTGCCAACTCCATGACCCATAGCATCTGTGATGTGTTTTCTAACTGTGGGGACAGCTGAGGTTGTACAAACCCTGGAGGAAGTAAAACAGAGGCTCTGCTCATGCTGAGTTATTTCCCTCCGACCTAAATAAAAGTGTTGTCTGTGTGAGTCACCACTCAGCTCTGCTAAAGCAGCCTATCTGGTGTGGCAACTAGCTACGAGTGCTGGAAACTCGGTATCTTGGCTATGTCTTTTATTATTAACACCACCACCATCATCATCATCGTCGATATTATTCATTCTTAATCAAGTTGAACAAACATGGAAACAAGCCACAAGATCTTGCCATTCACAGAAGCCAGAGCAGTCCAGTAAATATTAGCTTTGAACTCATTGAGAGCATAGGTAAAACTCTAAGCTATAAATCCTGCTAACCGTGTAACCATGAAATTGATCTCATTGACACAGTGAGCATCAGGATTCAATGATAAACAGCAGTCTTCCTCCCAGAGTGCAGAATGGACATCACCCACAGGGGCAGCTCGCCGCCTTCTCCCTCCCAGGCTTGCTCTCCAGGAGTATGTGCCAGTAGGTACTTGCTATGCTGGTAATATGGTTGTGCAGGGAGCTGTGTTCCCTCAAAAAATCTCTTCCCTGCAAGTTCCATGGACCAAAGAGAATTCAAGCTTGTGCAAGATTTGGGAGAGGACAGTGAGGCAGGAACCTAAATACCTGGAAGACTGTCCCTGGTTATGGTAGATCAGAGGTAGATGCAGAAGTGTTCATGAGATTGAAATTTCATCATTCCTTCCTAATGCAGACTGAATTACTTAAAGTCGTAAATTTGGGGGCTGGAGGCTTATCAGCTAGACACCAATATTCCGTATCAGAGTGCCAGGATCTGATCCTCAGCTCTGGCTCCCGAGACCAGCCTGCTGCCAATGCAGACACTGGGAGGCAGTGATAATGGCTTAATCACTGGGTTCTTGTCACTGACACAGGAGATCTGGGCTGGTTTTCCAGTCCCTAGCTTTGGCCTCCTGTCCAGTCTTGGCTGTTGTAGGCATTTGGGGAGTGAACCAGTGGATAGGGGAGTTATGCATCAAGTTCTTTTAAAAAAGTGTTTAATTCTATATAAACTTGGTATGTGTTCACCATTTTTCTAATCCCCTGAAAATATTTCATAGTTAAAACGAACAACATTACACTGGGCTCTGAAATGGAACTAGAGGCTGCTGATAAAATCTGCTCCCATCAACAACTCTGGCCTGACATGCTGTTTGGAACGGCTCACACCCCCAGCAGCTGTGCCTGCTTTCCTCTTTCCCATATTAGATGTTATGGAGTCCAAGGCTGCTTGGCCTTTCCTGGTTCTCCTGACTTATCAAAGTACAGAGTGTAGGATCCCTCTCCTCTAACCAGATGTCAGCAAACAGATTCTGAAAGAGGAAAGCCCCAGCTTCTGCTCCTAAGAAGTTAATTGCCTGGCTGGAAAAAACAGAGGGTCCTCCGCTCCCTCTTAAGGGGCACAATGTGGGCCACACTGAGGACAAGCTAATAGCGTGTATGTAACAGATTCTACCCAGTACAGCAAGGCTGGGAAAACCACTGAAATACTTAAGTTTGATGTTCTGGATGTGTAGACTGTAAAAGCAGAAAGAGAAGTCAAGAAAGGCCATTTTGGGCATCTGGAGGATTTGAGCAAAGGCACATTAAAAAAAAAAAAGATGAACTGTATCAAGTGTTCAGAGGGTGTGGAACAACTAGAACTCGTAAGTACTGCTGGTGGGAGGACAGACTGGTAGAACATCTTGGGCAACCATTTGGCCCCACTCAAGAAGGCTGAATTCACCCTGTGATTCCAGTAATTCTACTTCAAGGGGTAGATGCACCAGGAACGCACACATACATAATAGGCATGTATACAAACGTGTTACTCCGAATAAACGGAGAATAAAAACACCTAAATGCTTGCTGCTGGGAAGATAAACTGTTCTCAGGAGAGAACGCCCTACAGCACTGAGACTAAATGGAAGACAACTCTACATTACAGAAATAAAATAGAAATTGAACAAAAGAAGCCAGAGCAGAAGAGTACACGATGGATGGTTCTATTTAAGCAAAGCTCTAAAGCACACAAAGTGTACAGTGTCAGAAGGCAGTGCATTTAATGCAAACTCTTGAATTAGGTTAACTTTACAGAGAACTATCCACTTGCAGTAATCCACTGAGCAATACTTAATGCATGAAAAGCATAATACACAAACCATCAAAAAATTCAAATCCAGGAAAAAAATACACAAATGCCACCTCATGCTCACCAAGATTTTTGCAGAAATGGTTTGGCATATGCTCTGTACATCAACAGATGTTAAGGTCTCAGTGGTTCCAATATGTAATCCAGTTTGAGAGTCACTATGCTGCATTCTTACACAAAAAAAATCTGGGAGCTGATGATGCAAACTGAGGAAGAATACAAGAGACAGATGAGACTTGGAGAGGCAGAGGGTAGGTGCTTCAATTTTACAAACAGAAAGTATGGAGACCTGTCCTGTGGTGTACAGCCCTGAACAACATAGATGGGACTGGAGTGGACAAGGGGAGTTGAGTACACAGTGGCAAGAGGAGAACAGACATGGTATCCCTGGATTATCCTGAACAAGAGGAAAGTTCTCAGAGTTGTTGCATGTATATACAAATATCTGATGTTGTCTCTACTGCACCACTGAGGATTGATACAGGACAGCTTCATCCAGTCCAAAGAACACAGTTAATACAGATGAATGCAGGAAAGGTTAGAGGACTACTATGGATTAAAATATGTTTCTTCTACGTTCCTAAGTTAAAACTCTAACTCCCAATATAACTCAAAGTGGAAACAGAGTTGTCAGGAGGAAATGTCAGATAAATGAGGTTAGAAGGTTAGGTCCCCAGGCTGAAAAGGCTCACAGCTTTACAGGAACAAAGAGAGAGAAACATCTGTTACTCTCCACACACACATGCCCCAAGAGCCCACACTGGAAAGAGGTGGCAGTCTGGAGGCTGGGAAGACGTCGACAGAAATCAAACTAGCCAATGCTTCATCTTGGACTTCTACCCCACAGTTCAGAGTGCAAACAATTTCTGTGGTTTAAGCAACCTAGCTATGGTATTTGGTTATGGCAGCAGGAGCTGGCTGAAGCTATGAGCTGACTGTATGGCCACAGGCTCCATGATTGTGATGGGACATGAAATTTAATGGGGCGGAGGTACTTGTTTAGCCCATGATGTATTATCTTTAACAGACTTTACATCAAGCCAAGTTCCATTAAACTAGTTGAAACCTTATATTTGTTTAAAAAATTTTCATTTCCCAGTATAACTTACCACAAGAGATGTTCTGAGCGTGTAAGACACTCCTTACCTGGGTTAGGCTGAAGGTATTCAATTGTTTTAGTCATTATTTCCATCACGGCCCGGCTGGTGACATCCACTTTCTGAAATGAAAACGTAAACATTCTAAGTGACAAAATCTTTATCTTTGGATGCTTAGCCTCTGCTTGAGTCTCTGTGTAATCAGTGGCACAGCAGAGCAATGACTTTCAGTAGGTGCTTCGGTAGAAGCGGAAGGCATCAGAGAAGCTGCTAAAGCTGGTAAGGGTTTTGCCCTCAATGGTGTTCTAGCAAAACCTGGAAAGCTTATTTATCCATAGAGGAAGCTGATGACTTTCTTTTTATTATATATATAATTTATTTTTTAAATTATTGGTTACATTGTATTATGAGATACAGTTCCATAGGTACTGGGATTCCCTCCACCTCTCCCCCCATGGTGGATTCCTCCGCTCTGTTGTAAGACCTCAGTTCAAGATCAGTTGAGACACCTTTACCGCAAGCATATACCAAGCATAGAGTCCAGCATCTTATTATCCAGATAAGTTCATCCACTTCTTGGGGAGACCTTCCCTGGTCTGAAGGTATGGCCAAGAGAGCAAGATCCCGATCAATTAAAAGCCCCAGCAGCAATAATATATATCGTTATGGAGTTAATTGACATAGTATTGAGTAAACAATATGTTAAAATTACATATAAGTTCTTAACAACCTCCTGCGAATATTTCAATGACATTTTAACAATTGAGGTGCATAACAGGTTTAGAGGAGGTATGCAGAGAAATCTCTCATACCTTGGTGATGAGTACTTGTTCTTTATGTTCCACGTAGTAGAGTATGTGTGTGTCCTTGATGACCTATCTTTCTTTATTGTTCTCTGCTTATCTATTCCTATTTGTGTGTGTGTGTGTGTGTGTGTGTGTGTGTGTGTGTGTGTGTGTGTGTGTGTGTGTTGGGGGGGAGGGGGTTCTGGAGCAACCCTGTTGGTGATTGTAGAGGGTGGAGGCCCAGAGCTGGAACTAGGTAAGGACTGGAGAAGGCTCCTCTCCCATATCCCGAAGGAAGTTTATTGTTCTTCTGATTCTGATGACTGATCGTGGTTCCTGGCTGTTGTTCTGATGACGTTGGATCCTATGTGGAAGGACTCAGGCTTTTTTCATCTCATGTAGTTTGTCCAAAGAGAGGGGATGTCTGTCCTCTGGGTTCTTGGCCTCCGGAGGCATTCCAGTTCCCGTGTTCTTTTTGGCAGTTGTGATGACGTCCGTGGTGCCCATTCTGATAGACCTTGGTGGGAGTCCAGGAGTCCTTATGATTGGGATACAAACCTCCTCCTGTCCCGCTGCTCCGCTCTGGGGTTCTCCCCTTCTCTGTGCATATGACCCCCTGATGATAGCTTATTGGGGTCACTCCTGATTCCCCCTGTATGCCATTGTAGTTTTTACTATTGTCTAATGCTGTTCTGAATCTATCGGCTATAAGATACCTGTCCAGTTCCTGCAGGTTACACTATACGGGTTCCTCACTTTTTCAAAGGAGATGAGAGATTTTTCTGTGCTCCCACCCAGTTATTGTGTATCACAAGGAATTGGGAGTGTATTGGGTATTACAATCATTCAAAACACGTGGGATGAGACCGTATTAGTTACAGGTTCATCTGAGGAAGATTTACCATCATTGGGAATCTTTAGATTTGTTTCGTGCCCCCAAAACACTGCAGATTCGGCATGGAGCTGTCTGAGCAACATTCAGAAAACCAAATTCCCAGGGCTCCCTGGCCGGGCGGCCAGCAGGCAAAGCCAGGCACCAACTGGTGCACTGGCCACCCGGAGTGGCTCCCCGAGTGGGCGTGGGAGCCACCTGGTGCTTACCGAGTTAGAGGTGCCCTGGCCGGAGCCCCCCAGCCTCCGCATGGCACTGAGGGACCAAATCTCCGGTGCTGATGACTTTCTAAACCTTGTTTTAAAATAGACTTCATTGCCCTCTGACAACAATGAGGTGGAGATAATGCATCATATTTTCTTCTAAAGACACTGGCTAGATACCTATAGGGGGCCACACATAAGTGGCAGGTCTCACTGCCCTAAAGAAAAAAAGCATGGAACATCAACTCGTTTCATCAATAGATCGCATTTCTATTAAACTTCTAAGAAAATCCGACAGATATAAAGATCCTGAGCAAATACTTCTGGTCAGTTCAGGAAAATTCAGTTAACTCTAAGCAATAACCTTTGAGCTAGAGTCAATTCCAGCAGATTCCCCAAGTGCCACTGTGGGCCTTCAGCAGGTCGCCATGCTGTCAGGCCACTGTCTCCACAGGGAGGGCAGTGCAATGGCAAGTGTTCCATTCATCAAGTGATCTCTGTCTTCACCCACGAAATCCTCATCCTGTCAACACAAGTGCAGCGTCACGTGCAGACACTAGATGGTGCAAGCGCAAGAAATTAATTTTTTGGTGGTAGAAATTCAGGTATCAGTTATGTCCAAGGGAATTTTTTTTTAAAAATCGTTTTCCCTTTGTAGTACAACAACTCTTTCTTCCCTTAAATCAGAAAATTTTTCCACAACTTATCATACCTGCAAATAAAATCAGGCTTGCATGGAATATGTCTCCTCTGATTTTATCTTTCAGCTTTTTAATATTTAATAAGTTCCCATTCCCACAGTTATATTTGTGCATATTTGCCAATACTGGAATAAACAGCGAGTATTATTGTCTATGTGAGTCTTTTCATCCTTGCAGTGGATGCACCCAAATTTTAATTTGAATATATGTGGTATCCCCCGGAGTTGTACAATGCACATGTTGAGCAGCCATTCAGAAGAATTTCACAGTGTGTAGTCTGCTCTCACCTTTAGTTTTGCTTCTAACATTCAGTTTGTTCTTTCTTCCTTTCTTTTTTTAAGATTTATTTTTATTGGAAAGCTAGATATACAGAGAGAGACAGAGGAGGATCTTCCGTCCAATGATTCACTCCCCAAGTGGCCACAATGGCTGAAGCTGAGCTGACCTGAGGCCAGGAGCCACGAGCTTCTTCCAGGTCTCCCATGCAGGTGCAGGATCCCAAGGCTTTGGGCCATCCTCAACTGCTTTTCCAGGCTCAAGCAGTGAGCTGGATGGGAAGTTGGGCCACCGGGATGAGAACTGATACTCATATGGGATCCTAGCATGTGCAAGGTGAGGAATTTACCTGCTAGGCCACCACACCAAGCCCCTTTTATTTCTTTTCTAAAAAAGATTTACTTGAAAGAATGACAGAGAGAGTTTCCATCCACGGGTTCATTCCCCAGTCAGCCTTAAAGCCAAAGCTGGAGGTCAGATCAAACCTAGGAGCCCAGATCTTCATTCAGTTCTTCTGTATCAGTGGCAGGGAGTTAACTACTTAGACCATTATACACTATCTTTCCAGGCATGTCGGCAGAAAGTTTGACTGCAAGCAGAGTAGCTGGGAATTGTTCTGGCATCTCACTGCTGTGATGTGAGTTTCCCAAGCTATGGTCTAATCTACTGTGCAAGGCCTACTCCTACAACTCATTCTATCTCAATTGCCGTAAGGTCACTGGTATCCCAGTGTTATAGCACATGCCGTATGTCACTCATCTCCATTTATTTCATCAGGTAGGTACTGTATCATCTCCCATCATCACAAGAGGAAGGGTGAGAATGATTCCTTAAGTTGCTTTGGGAGAGACCGTACTCAAATACTTCTCATTATGGTACTTGCTATAACTGTCTTAGTTCATTATTAGCTATCGCTGTTAATGTTTCACTGTGTCTAGTATATAAAATTTATAATAGGTATTAATGTTTAGAAGTAAAACAGTACATAGAGAATAAATGAAATAAGGAAGAACAGTGGGTGGAGAATGTAGGCAGGAAGGAGGGTAGGGTGGGAACTATCATTACACTCCTAAATCTGCATTTCCATATGCATGAAATCTATCCAGTTTATATAAGTTTTAAAAAGCAAAAATCAAACCAAAGCAAAACAAAAAGCCATACATGTGGAGTTTGTTGTTATCCATTGTCTCAGACATCCATGATGAGTCATAAAATAAATCTCCTACAGATAAAGAAGGTTTTATCAGAGTATCAGTCAAGCACTATGTACTTAAGTGGTGGGATGCCTTACGCCAGGGAAGCAGAAGCAGAGGCCGCACAAAGCACATAGAAAGAGGATGAGACAGATCTCTCACTGACTCCGTGAGAGGGATTAAGGAATCTGAAAGGAAAATAAGCTCTCTAAATCCAGACAACTGATGTAAGAGTCAAAGGGTTTCTAAGAAAATGCCAGGGGGTCAATGTGAACTGTCCAAAGACTGTCACTCTAAAGTCACAAGCCATGGCAAGACTGACCAAGATCTGACTTTCTCTCCATCTTTGTTCCTCAGTATTAATGTCCAGTACGCTCCCTGCAAAACCAAACAGTGTCAGTCTGTTAGGATCCTGGTAGCCTTTTGGTGAGTATTTCCAAGGACTGCTGAGTATGTTTTTAGCCTGGTGGCAAGCAAGTACATATTCTCATTTTAACAGGACTGGTAAAATTTGCACGAAAAGAATTTCCACTGAAATAGTTTAATATACCTGGCAAAAGGTTACGACCACTTGAGAATAATAATTCAACTTTGAACTTACCAGCACAATGCTGATGGCGTCCTCAATGCCCAAATTTCCTATTTGAAAAAAGCTTTTGACACATTCGAATTTACAAATTCCATCTGCATGCATTCCTGAGCACCCTGGACACTGGGTGTCTGCCCACACAAGGCAGCTTTCCTATGTATCCTTTTGCTTCCGGGCTCATTGTCTGGTCTCTGCTTTGCACAGGCTTTGCCACCATCAACCTTCCCCAAATGGCACTCTGAGAGGTCCACCCAGTCTTGAAACAGGTACCTCTAATGTAACGTGAAATGGACCTCTTCCTTCCTAAGAGGTTCTTTTCAGCATTTTAGTTGAAGCAACAAGGTGACTAACACAACCCCGAACATATATATATAAGCACTATTTATGAAATTAAAATTTCCACATGAAATACGATTTTTTCTGAAAGTGCCAGCATTGTGACTCACTGGGGTAAACCACCACCTGGGATGCTGGCATCGTACTACAGCACAGCTCAGAGCCGTGTCCTGATTCTTCGGCTTTCCATCCATATTTTTGATAACCTGTCCATGAAGGCAACAGATAATAACCTAGGTACTCAGATCCCTGACACACAGGTGAGAAACCAAGATGATCCCAAGCTGATCTTCCTGGCTCCTGGCTCCTGGCTTTTCTGGCCTGACACAGCTCTCACTGTACTGGTCATCTTGGAGATGAACCAGCAGATGGAAGGTCTGACTCTCTGTCTTTGCCACTCAACACTTCCCACCCCTAACCCTGCAGCACTATCAAATTAGTGAATGAATCTTTTTAAATATCTTAAGCACCTATTTTTTTGTCTCTCTCCTACAATATTCTAAATGCCAAGATTTTAATAGTTTTCAATTTCAGAGTCAGAAGAACTGGAACAAATTTACATTTTTGTATAAGGAGAAAAATAGGTCAGTCAGCCTTCCTTACTTGTAACATTTTTCCTCTTCATGCTAAATCAGAAGATGACAAGCAGGAGCCTGTGAGCCAGGTCTGGGCCATATTTTTATATATTTTATAAGTGGTTGGAACGTTGCACAAAAAGTCAACATGCCCTGCTTTCTGTGGAAGCAATAGGAATGATAACAGATAACAGAAAAGATGTGTGAAATAAGACTATATGCACAATGGACTGAAATCTTTCTCTCTCAATGAAGTAAAAATCCGAATGCAGAACCATAAATATGCTCTTCAAACAGAAGCTGACTGCAGGAATACCTTAAGTTTTTTCTTTGTTTTTTAAAAGAAAAGCTTCATATACTGCTTGACAAAATAAGAAAACTAAACCCTAGGATTTAGCTTCAGGCTTAGAAAAAATGTTTGTGGGCATTTCCTGAACATACTGGACATGCAAGATTCTCTCATTTCAGTCATTTTACAAAACTGACATGGACTTTTCAGGAAAATGGGTCTCCAAAGATCTAATCAGTTGCTCCTTGATAACCTCCATTAAGTTCTCCAAAATTCCTACTTGAAAGTCTCATTAACGGTGAATCTGGCATTGTATAAATAATCAGCTTCCAAGTTACTGCTCTCACCGTGGCAGGCAATAAAAGCAAGGCTAGCACTCTGACTCTGGGCTACCAGTTGTAAATTCCTAAATACCCAAATAACCTATCATTACAAACATGGTAATAGCCACGTGGCACACTGTACATGCCACTGAGAACAAGAGGAGGAAATATGGAGCATCAGAGCATAAGGGGGGACCATGAAGAGGGAATACAGACAGCAGCTGATACAAATTAAAATAACCAGGGCCCAGCACAGTAGCCTAGTGGCTAATGTCCTGCTTTGCAACCGCCAGGATCCCATATTGGCGCTGGTTTGTGTTTTGGCTGCTCCACTTCCCATTCAGCTTCCTGCTTATGGCCTGGGAGAGCAGCAGAGGACAGCCCAAAGCCTTGGGACCCTGCACTCGTGTGGGAAACCCAGAAGAGGCTCCTGGCTCCTGGCTTTGGATCAGTTTGGCTCCAGCCAGTGCAACCACCCAGAGAGTGAACCAGCAGACAGAAGATCGTTGTCTCTCCTTCTCTGTGTAAATCTGATTTTCCAATATAAATAAACAAATCTCTAAAACAAAATTAGAAGACCCACCAAGAATGTAAACTGATGACACCATTATGGAAGACAGGGTGGGGATTCCTCAGATACTTGAAAATTTATCTGCCACTCCTGACAATTCATCCAAACATATCAGCATACAAGACAGAGAGACCTGTGCCCTCAAGTTTATTGCAGCTCAATTCACAATAGCTAAGAAATGGAACCTGGATACACACCATTGGATAAAAAAAAATATGCTGTATACATAGCCTATGAAATATAACTCAGTGATAAACAAGAATGAAATCTTGTCTTCTACACATAAATTGATCCAATTAGAAATCATTGGGCTTAGGGCAATTAGTCAATCCCCAAAACACAAGTATCACATTTTCCCTGCTCTGTGAAAATACACACAACAGAGCACATGAGTGAGACTGACAAGTGATGTGATTACAGTTTACAGCCTCTGTCCACACGCCTGAGGAATAACATGTCTTTTTTCCTCACTTACTATGTATTGACAGCTCTACCTAATAAGGTGTTACAATTGTGATTCTAAAATGAAATGGAAATTTGCCACTGTAAAAACTAAAAGAAAAAAAAATAAATAAGGAAGGAGCAGGGTGAGTGGGGAAGCCAGGTAGGAGGAAGGGTAGGGTGGGAAGTATGGCTATGCTCCTACATCTGTATCATGAACTACATGAAATCTGTTTACTTTTATAAATAAAAACAGGAAACCAAAGAGAAAAAAAAAGGGCCACTAGGCTGTTTTTAATGAGGACTGAGGAACTAAAGTAATATGAGAAGTAGCAGAATCATAGTCAAGTATGCAGAATCAGACATGGTAGAGGACAGATGGGTAGAATGTTATTTTCACAACCAGTATCAGTGGCTTCCAGCTTTGGCTGAAGGCCAGGGGTTATTCACAACCATTCAGAGCTGAGAAATAAGGGCCCAACACAGGTATCATTCCAATTACAAGTGGTTGCCAGGCATCAGGTGTAAGCTTTTGCTTCCTGAGATCGCTGCCTGGGACTCAGGACTCAAGTAGAAAGTTTGTTCATCACAGGGAAGATCAATACCAAGAACGGAGCCGGTGGCCAGCTAGCTCAATGCCATGCAGTCCCATTTCACAAGACCCTTGCCTCCTGGCAACTCCTCTTCTCCTTGGGGGCTAATGTTAGTTTCTGTTGTCTGCTTGCATGCTATTTCCTGGACCAGACACCGATCACGCTCTGCTGTTACTCTTTGTACACGTCTTTTCCTTAGTATCGGCAAGGCTCCCTGACAGCATATTTCTGGGAGAGTAGATAGAAGGTAAATTCCCTTTGCTCCAGGCATCATTAGAATCACACTTTGACAACTCTGCCAATCTCTGATTCCCACTGGACTATCAAGTTCACATACACCGAATGTAGAAGGTACAAGGCAAATATTAACTCATCAGCAAACTCAGTAGGAATAAAACACTTGCATAAGGCAATAGCATCTAGGAAGTTCTGTTGTTTGACCTTTCAATCTGACTCACACTAACACAGCGAAAATGAGGCAGCCGACAGGACTATGCAAGGCTTTTAGTAGCAACAAACTCAAAACATACAGAAATCACTTTGAATAATTATGTATAAAATACTCTTATTAAGGCATAGGTATACACACATATGTATATATACAAACACACACACACACATACACACATATATGATTGCAATATATGATTGCTCAAATACAGGATTTCAACTTCAGATCCATTAGCTCCCAGAAATTTAAAACCTAAGATATTTCTCTTCACACAATTTCAGTGTACATGCCCCATCCTAAGGCTAGAGTCTTAGAGTGAAAAAAAAGCAAAAGAGAAATGACTTAAGCCTCAAGAGAACTGAAACAAGATAGTTTGTTCACCACTTCTACTCATACTTGTTGAAAATGCAATCGTCAAGGCTGAATATTAACTGATTTTCATTATTTGTAACCATTAATAAAAATCACTCCCGAGCATGAATATTCTCATTTCACAGTTACTCTAAAAGTGCAGTCTCAAAGAAATAAATGGACTTTCACCATCAGTGGAGAAAGGGGAGTGCGGGCTCAAGTCAGGTTCCAATATGGCATTCGTTTATCCACGGCTGCTGCCTCTGACTGGCATCACCTTGTCAGCATGGCCTCCAGATGGTGACTCAGATTCTCCTGAGAACAATCAGGGCATCGTTCTCTACCATCTCCTTTCCTTTCAGCTTCACCCAAACTCAAACACCAGCTTTAGGCTCCTCCTAGTTTGGAGAAGTGAGATAGACTCCACCGAAAGTGTGTTAGTGGAAATGTGCGATGAGTCATTGTTTAGAGGACAGTAAAACGAAACAAGGGACATTTTCCATTGCATGATGTAGATACATTTAAAAAATGCAGAATACTTTTCAAAATAATATGGTATATTCTCCAATTCCAATAGAGAAGTTTTCTTCTCCCTTCCCACTTACTGTCTTCCCACGGGGCACAGGGTTATGTCACAGGGAAATTCTAAGCAGTGGGGACTTACCCTCTCCATCTCCTTGAAGTCATCATCTAGCTTGGTCCCTTCGGCTCCTCCAACCTTCTCACTCACTTTCTGTAGAAATAATCACAAAAGCAAAATTACTATAATTTCTGTGAGAATGATTTATTTAGGATTTTAAGCACTTTCACAATCATCTATTGTAATCTCACAATCTTTCTCTAACCTAAGTAGAGGGTCCCGTTTTCATAGTAGGAAACCATGGCTCAAACGATTTAAATAACTCACCAAAGGTTATGCACCCAGGGAGCACTGATATGAGAATCCCAACTTCTAACTCAAAATTTCAACCACAATGTTCTTTCTATTAGATAAATCATTTTATAACTACCTAATCACTAGCATTTTCCTGTTGAAAGTTTTAAGGGACCATAACATCATACAATCATCATTTGCCGCTGATAATTAATTGAAAATCCTAGCTAAGAAGAAAATTGCTACTTTTTCAAAGCCTATTTACTCCTCAAAGGGCTACTGAACAGAAAATTTCAAGTATTATCAAACTGGTTGTTCAAAAAAGCAGCTCTGCTGATTTTCCGCTGAAAGCTCTCGAGTCTTACAAAGTTCCTTATGGCTATTAACCACCATATGCACATTCGACAAATCACATGGAAAATCTTTAGATCATTTCTTTGCTTCACAATCATTCCCTACGATCACATATTTTACATTCACCAATTAACATACATGAGAGGTCTTAAAGTACACAGAAAATGTACATCATTTTTTGAAACCTATGTATGGATTTCAACTCCTGCAACAAAAGTAAACTTATTATTTTTAAGTCAATTATCTGCAAACATTTTGACATATCTTCAATTATCACTTTTCACATGCAAATTTCATGTTCACATAAAAGCATTATCCTAATGGACATTGGGAGGGTGACATCATCCTTGGGTCAGTGAAATCGGCAGCATTTGAGAACTATCCAAGCCACTTGGACAGAACCCTCGGAATGTGTACACACTGAAATTCTGGGTTGATATGAGGTACCAGTTCCTCATCCCTGGGTATTAGGACGTGTGGAAACTCATGAGTGGTTTCCTCCTTTGTCTCTCCCTTTCCCACGGAAACAAAAAGAAATAGTAAATTTGGAAGCAATGAATACACCCAATTTTCCCTAAACCTTGATCCTTCCCAACCTGATCAACCATGTAATCATTATAAAAAAGGAAATTTATAAAAAAAGGAAAAAATGAATTCATTCATTCTTATTTTAGAAAAAAATGAATACATTCATTTTTTTAGAAAAAAAAATCATTTATAAGAGGCAGACTATAGGGCAAGATACACAAGCTGAGTCCCCTCCCCAAATACTCAACAATGTTTGGATCTGCCTTGGTGCAAGGGCTAAAGCCAGGATCTAGAAAATTAATCAGGTCTCCCACATCCCACATTTCCCACATCACATGGGTAACCGGAAATCAACTACCTGAGCCATCACCACTGCCTCCCAGGATTTGCATTAGGAGGAAGCCAGAGTAAGGACATGAGCTGGGCCTCAAACCCAAGCACTAAAATGTAACAATGAAGGGATCACACAAAAATACTTCGGTTTTTGTCAAAGACAGGAATCTGATAAGTGCTACTGACACAAGACTTTCATCTCACCTAAAATGGTATAACTGTAAAGGTAGCTAGATACGTTTGTCTGAGATGTTACTCTATTACATAACAATTCACAGATATCAAAGCATAATTTCCCTTCATTAACCACTGAAGTTCACTGAGGTTTTCCATTATGGCCAACTTTGGAAAATCACAGCATGAGCTGGGTCATACAGGAGGCTCACTTCACTTCCTAATACTAGCACCCCTAAAGACCTTGCTCTATCTCCTGACCATGAAAGATCCGATATTCATTTGCTAGGGCCTGATCTGTTTCCCATCAGTTTTTCTTTCTGCCCTTCATTTCTGCATCAAGAAAACCTTCAGGAAAATATCATTCTTGGAAGGTAAGAGTCAGATTGTTATCACTCTGTCCCACTGCAGCATATGCCAGCCATCCCACTGCACCTGTCATTATAAAAGGAATATATTTGTAGTGGAAGAACATGTTGATGTGTATATTCCTGGTCTAGTACAGAGAATTGTTATAAAACTTACATTGCAAAAGAATTTTTAACAACCTGGGTCTGAATTTATAAGATATATATACAACAAATTCTGATTTCCTGATATGACGCAGCTATGGTATGTTGCTTCCAATATACATAAAGCATTTCTCCCAATATAACAGCATTGAAAACTGATGTGAACTTAAGTAGTGGAGATAGTGTGAGGTAACTGAGTCACAGCAGCACCCATGAAGCAATTAATGCTGGTATCACAGGCGCAGATCAGCTCCCACAACAGTGGGTTGCTACAAATAAGTGATCCTGGTCTCAGCTGACTCCTTGTTCATCATGTAGCCATGCCCTTTTGCAGGCTCCTGCTAAATGCAGCCACCTGCCATGTTGTGATGCAGCTAGGAAGTCCTTACTACATGCTGGAACCAGCAACACCAGCCAAATACACTTCTTTTCTTTAAATGTTAAACAGAATTACAGTATCTCTAACAACACAACATGAAACAGAAATCCACGCTCTTGTCAAGAAAATGAGTTATCTGCTTTGAGTACCCTAATTTCTCCTGTTTAACTGCTGTTGTATAATTGAAACGTGGTTGGTGGTTTTCTTTAACATAATACAATCTTAGGTAGAGAAGGACCAATACTTCAGAGGTAAAGGTTGACAAATACAATATTCACATCTTTAATTTTTATCATTGACACACACTTTCATTTGTACCTGGGAACTTAGGAGAACAGATGTTATTGCTGTAAATGAGAAAACTGAGGGTTCTATACATTAAACTGCCCATCCATGGAAAACACATTTGATTAGGAACAGGGGAAATTGGCACTTGAAAGCAGCATTTTTGTTTGTTTACAATTTTTATTATCATTTTATGATACGGTTCCATAGGGCTTGGAATTTCCCTTAACCCCACCAAGTACACTCCCTCCCACTGAGTTCCTCTATGTTACTACTATAGTATAGTTCTTCAAACAGTCGCATGTCCATCATTGCGGGCATGGAAATGACAGAAAGCAATATTTCTAAGATAAACCCCAGGCTTCCTCAGCTGGAAATCAAGGTTTGGGGAGCTGTCCACGGTGCTGGCCATCTCTGCTCTAAGAGTCATTAAATTCAGACTTTTTGAGGTGGATTCACTGCTTTATGTCTTGGCCACTGGCATCTGTTCTATCACTTATCCAATTCTCTGAGTGGTGCTGGCTATTACCCACAAGACCATAGGTAATTCTTACAGAGCCAGGCGTTGTCTGGCATCTATACCACCTAATTTAAATTCTGAGCCAATTGTGAATTGTCCGCCTCCTTGACTATACTTACAGATTCTTATCCAATCAGAAATTAGAAGGATTGATAAACAATTCACTTTAGAAACTCCTAATGGAAATCCAAGTGCAGGTGATCTGACCTGCGTGTTCAGGCCTAAGCTACATAAAATCAGACACAAGAGTCTCACAGAATACTAACAATTTTCACTATGAATGAACAGGCCCTTTAATTCTGCCATACCTTCTGTCTCACTTGTCTCAAGGCAAGGGCATTTTGAGTCTGATTCTCAAAGCAAATGTCATACAAGATGAAATCATACTTGCTAGTAATAGCTTAGAAAGAGAGCTGGTGGACCCAACATGATGGCTCAATTGGCTAATCCTCCCCTTGCAAGAGCTGGGATCCCATATGGATGCCAGTTCATATCCTGGCTGCTTCATTTCCTACCAAGCTCCTTGCTTGTGACCTGAGAAGGCAGAGGAGGATGGCCCAATGCCTTGGGACCCTGCACCTGTACGGAAACCAAGAAGTTGTGGCACTTAGGGAGTGAACCAGTGCATGTAAAATCTTCCTCTGACTCTCGCTCTCTCTGTAAATCTGCCTTTCCAATAAAAATATTAAGATCTTTAAAAAAAAGAAATAGTGCTGGTAACTCAGACCAACTCATCAGTACATTCGCCTTAATTATTAGGCTTACAAGTAATTGGTGTGTGTGTGTGAGAGAGAGAGAGAGAGAGAGAGCATGCACGCACACATGTGTATATGAAAGATTCGGAAGAGAAGGAGAAACAGGGAAGGATGCGTAAGTAACAGCAAAATGCTAAAGGTTAGATAATGACACCAGTCTGATTGGTGTATTGATGCAAAATTTTCTTGTTCTAATTAGATTCATGTGAAAATCATGTTCACATTGACATCTACCCTATTCTCTGAGCTATTTTTCAAAGTTTTAAAGGACATAAATATATTAAGGAACTGAATTAAACGGTGGGCTACACACAAGTTACTTGTTGCTTAGATTATGTGGCAAACGTTTCTTTCCTTGTTTTCCAATAACATCACTTATCCCACCCTAGCCAATAAAAGGTAGTTTTGTTTTCTTAACTGGTAACATTTCTTTCATGCTATTATTTGGTAGAAGCTTTCAGAAAGTTGAATGCCTGCAAATGCTGTTTAGTATACATCAACTAAATGCTTCCCATCTGAGAAATTGAAGAGAAAAAAGGGTAATGTACTTTTGCAAATATCAAGCTTAAAATGAATGAGAACTGGCATCAAGCGACACAAGTAAGACTGACACAGGACTCTGGGATGCTCTTTCAAAAGACAACATATAGGTAAAAACAAAAGGAAACAACCAACTAACAATCTAAATTAATGTCTTAATTTTGAGTCTGCAGTAGTGTCTGCCTCATGTTACTGATCTCCATATACCAAATGAGAAAAATGTCAACATGAATCAAAAGCAAGAGACAGCTTAAATGAATGACCACGATTGCTAGCCCAAAGGATGCTGCCCTGCTTTCCAATGAGTCATGCCCCTCGAGGCTGTCACCTCCAGCCAGAAGACACTTCATCCTGGATGCACCTATGATACTTTCCAGCATTGTTATCTCATTGACCGCACATTTCAGATACTGTAATGCAGTTTCAACTAAAGGTACCCTTGAAAATCACATCATCAGTTGAGTCAATAGATGGAAGACCAAACTCATTCACACTGCTTACACCAGCAAAGTTATTCACTTTTTGAATTTTCTGGTATGGCTCAGTTTCTTTTTTTTGGGGGGGGGAGGTGGAGGGTTGCTCAGTTTTACCACGCACTATCATATGGAATCATGTTTCTTTGCCATCCACCTAATGCATTGTTTATTTCTTCTGCTTTGTACCTGGACTTAGTTCCATTTGTACACTTTAAATCATGAATTATTTACACTACCACTCAGATGTCACTTTCCCCGCCATCTGTGACCACTCAAAGTTCTCAGCCTTCTTGGGCGCCCATCTGTTGGACTACCTGGAACCAAATCATAATGAATAAAACTGCTGAGGATCTGTGCTCATATAACTTGTTAGATGCTAAAGGCAGAAATCACACTGTTGCTTTTTAGAATGTGTGAAACTGAAGTAACTGACACGGTGCTAACAGAAGAGAAACATGATTATCCTGATGAATAACTGGGACCATAATCTACCGGAAGGTTAAACCAAATCCTTAGTTATTAGTCATCACTGGTTTCAGATCTCAATCCTGACAGTTAAATCTCTAATAGCCTTTGTCTCAAGTAAAACAGTTAAAATTCAAAAAATTAAATAAACACATAAGGAATTTTATTTACAGCTAAGGCTAAATAAAATTCAACGACAGCTATTCTATTCATTCATAATATTAATATAGGTACAATACTACTTTGGATAAGAATTAGTGTTAATAATATATATTGTTTCAATGAGCCACTGTGGTGGACCCAACTGAATAACCTCGAATTTCATATTCTGTAGTTAGCTTTCAATAGCAAATTTAGAATGCATACATTAACCTACCTGTATGAGTCCATTTTCTGTTACTGTGATACAAAATCTGAGAATAGATAACTTGATGAAGAAATCTGTTTAGCTCACAGTCCTGATAATTTTATGGCATGCTGCTGCCACGGGCTATTCTGGTAAAGGCCTTACAGCAGGTGTCATCATAATGACAGGAGTACATGTGGGAAAGGAATCAGGAAGCAAGAGATGGCAAAATTCTGTTGTGTACCTTTACAAGAATGCACCCTCATGCAAATGAACTCATGACAGTGCCTCCACTCACCAAATCTAGTCTCCTTAGCCCCATTAAGATAACATGATCCACCTCATGACATGATCACACTGGGAACCAAGATTCAAACACACAACTATATTCAGACTAAAGTAAGCATTCATCTATGTTCTGGAGCAGTCCAAAAATAGATTTACAGTGAGAGAAGTCCCACTGACAGAGCCATGTGAGGCCAGGTTTTTTAAAGAATGTAAGTTGGAGTTAAGACATGAATTTCAGTGCTGAAAAAGATCACCTCCTAATTTTATGGAAGAGAAAACACATAACTTCTTACTGCCTCTAGTTTTCTATCTAAGAAAACAAAAAAACAAAGTCATTAAACACCAATTTTGGGGGGACACTAAATTATAAAACATATGTAAGAGAACTCCATAACTTATCAAAACTTATTATTAAAGTAAGACACAGGGGCCTATGTGGAGGCCAGCAGATTAAGACAATCCTTGGGATGCCTGTGTCCTGGAACAGCATGCCAGGCCTTGAGTTCTGCTTCTATTTCTGCTCCAGCTTCTACAAGACAGCAGACAATGCCAATCCAAGTACTTAGGTTGCTGTCTCTTACGCAGAAGTGGTGGGCATTTGGGGAATGTCTATCTTTCAAACAAATAAAGCAAATTATGCCATAATTGGAAGTATTACTGATGAAAAAAAGGTAGAATTTTAAGTTGGCGTTTTACGTGTACCCCCTTCCCAAATTTTTAATTTGAATATATTACTAAATAACTTAGTATGCAAGCTTTTTAGAAAAAAGATAACAATTGCCCAGTGGGTCACTGTATGAATTTTGCAATATTTACAGAAAGACACTACCTCTTTCAAAAAATAGAAAGTCGTCATCTGACACATCATGAATGTTATTTTTATCATTGAAATGTAAAATATTCAATCTTATTTCAAATATTTGGAGCTAACATCAGAGGCAGAATTTCAGCAGTATTTTCTTACTACTCAAATACATGTGGATCTTGTTTCCCCAGATGGAGTATTTCCATGTATGAAAGAAAGGATGGAATTTCTTTATGGGACACATGTCTCACACTTGCTTTTCTCAGCTGTCATTAAACTGGAATGCTTAAATGTCATGATGTTTTGAAAAACATATCTAAAAATACATACATACATACATATATACTTACTTTTCCCATCCACAAATTTTTCTTACATAATGAATAGATACTCTGGTTGACTAAATAGAGCTAATTCTAACTATCACTAGCAAGATGAACTTGCAGTAATTTAGAATTTCTTTTCAATTTGGAGAAAATGGAAAAGGTTGTTTTTTATTTAATATAAAAGCCAATAATTCCCTCCATACACACACCACAATGATTCAGCAGGATGAAGATTTAGTTTCTTTGATTACCTAGAGATGAAAACTTTACACTGAGATTGCAGAGTCCTTTTTCTAGCTTTGAACCTATCTTCCCTGGTCAAATTTTATACATAAAATGCAAGAAAAAATGCATTTGTATGAAAATCCAATTGTTTTTGAAGTGGTTAATTTGGATTAAGAGTCTCATCCTTTTAAACTATTTTAGCAAAGTGAGAATTTCCTGTAGACTATGGAAGTAACTGCACACTTATTCCCCTCAAACGGGTTGGCAAAATCCATCATAAAAGCATCATGAACAATTTTCGTCCACATTCTAGAAAGATGCTTTATAACCAACATACACATTTATTTGCAACTGACCTTTTTTTTTTGCATCATTAAGAAAACGTAGATATACAATGCTCAGGACAAAACAGACAGCCACTGTATTTCTGTATATAGACTCCCTCAAATAATTAAGATATACATCAAATAAGGGGTCTTGTAAGACACTAGGTCAGCTGAATGGACAGGTATTTCTACAAACTTTTCCTATCTCTAGAAATATGAAAAATTCACATTTCTCCATAATCTACTGTGACAAACTACTCAGGATAAACCAAACACAAGATGGCAGAATATTCTGAAAATACATCCTAAGACTTGCGACTGGAACTATGTCATTTTGTTCTGCCTGAGAGAACCTGGGAATGCTAGCCTGTTCTAAAAGTTGGGTTGTGGCAGCCCCTCAATCCATAATCACAATCACATTGAACAAGTTCCTAAAAACAAAAATTGCTTCTAGGCCCAGCATAGTGCCCTAATGGCTAAAGTCCTCCCCTAGTCCGTGCCAGGATCCCATATGGGCACCATGTCCTGGCATCCCTGATTCCCTTCTAGCTCCCTTAGGACCCTGCATCCACATGGGAGACCTGGAAGAGGCTCCTGTCTTCAGATCAGATCAGCTCCGACCACTGCAACCACTTGGGGAGTGAATCAACAGACAGAAGATCTTCCTCTCTGTCTCTCCTCCTCTCTGCATATCTGACTTTCCAATAAAATAAATAGGTAAATACATCTTTAAAAGGAAGGAAGGAAGGAAGGAAGGAAGGAAGGAAGGAAGGAAGGAAGGGAGGGAGGGAGGGAGGAAGGAAGGGAGCAGTAACATAATGGCTCTGTTTTTCTAGAATAGTATCTGGTACAATAGCAATCTGCTGCAGTACTATTTATAGCACAGCAAAAGCAGGCCATAAACCAAGAAAGGAGGCAAAAAGAATATTCTGCAAAGTGCTTGAAAGGGAAGTCTTACAGCACATTTTTTTCAGATTATGTTTACTTTGTTATGAATTCCATTCTTTTAAAAACAACAACAACAAAGCATCTTTCCTTAAAATCCATCAAACAGAACAAACACAACAACACAAAATTTAAATGTCTACTAGTGTATGGCAGACTTCATGATCAATGGAGGTTTCATACACAAATAGGACAAGGTACACAGTCTTTGAAAACCATGGCAAGACCTATGAACACATTAACAACCACTCAAGTACAACAGCAAAGCACATTTTTAAAAGCACAGAGCAGAAGCTCGCATTGTGACAGAGCACCTAATGTGGGTTTGTGTCCTGGCTCTTCTACTACTGATCTGGCAATCCACAGTATTAAGTATATGGCTTATTTCACTCAGCATAATGCAACTGAGATGCATCTACATTGTTACCTGTTTCAGGAGCTCAATTTCCTTTTTATACATGCATAGCATCTACTGCCAACCATGCCAAAGTCTGCTTTTCCTCTTGCCAGTTGATAGGCATTTTTATTGCTTTCAGGCTAGGATTATTTTGCTATGAATTTTATTTTTTTAAAAAAGTCAACAAAGAGTCCTTAGATGAAGTCAATCAAACAGAACAAATACGGGGGAACAGAAATTGGATGCTGTCTAATATACAACAGACTGGTCTCCCCCTAAAGGTTTCATATGCAAATACATTAAGATACACATTCTGCAGTAACTTACACTTTGGTGGCCTGTATGAATAATGCTGCTGGAAGTATGTGCCAACAAGTTAGTGACGATATGCTTTAATTTCTTTGAGGGAGAAACCTATGAACAGAAGGGTCCTGAACTAAGTGTATATTCAATTTGATATGTAATGATCAAAATGTTTTCCACTACAGCTTACCATAAAATCATAAATTTTCATCTTAGTATTCATGGGGAACTGTAACAAGTTTTGATCTGGAAAATGACATTACTAAATTAAATGTCAAGTCATCTGATTACAGAGACGAGATGGACTTCAAGAAAACAAGAATAGGAACAAAAACACCAGCTAAAATGGTATCAAGTGAAAGATGAAGAATTTTAAGAGTAGGACAGACTCATTATATATATATAGGGTCTGGACTTCTGAGAGTGATCAGGGAAAAACACAGATATACAGACCATTGAACCATATTGAGAAGAACAGATCGGCGTGCTTAGGGCAAACAGGCGCACAGCGTGCTGCTAGGGGTCAAGGAGGACCATGGACATCACAATTAGGAGTTTGGCAGGGGAATAACCAACAAAACAGGCAAAGGCTTTCTCTTTAAAAAAGAAAGCTGGAAAATAATGAAAAGGGAAGAAAAATTAGAAAAGCAACACCAACAACAAAGCAGAATAGACAACAGGTCACGGGAAACCTGCCACACGAATGCAAGCAAGTCAGGAGGATGAGCAAGAAGGCGACAGTTCCAACATTCCCTCAGGTCTCACGCGTCAGTGCACCTGCCAACCGCCAGAGGTGTGATGTACTCTGGCGCAAGCGGCACCAAACGGCTTTAAGGACTGGACAACAGCAACTACATTCTCATATTTACTAGAAGACAGTATCTCTCACAGCTCATTGTGTGCCTACATAAGTATGACCTGAAACAAAAGGAAATACTCTTGAAAAGCACAGTAACTGACAGCCACTGAGTTCCAGCTTTGGGGCAAGTAGAGCAACACATACATCATCTCTCTCTCTCTGGTTTTTTTTTTAAGATTTATTTCATCTTTTTTGGAAAGTCAGATATACAGAGAGGAGGAGAGACAGAGAGGAAAATCTTCCATCTGATGATTCACTCCACAAGTGGCCACAATAGCTGGAGCTGAACTGATCCGAAACCAGGAGCCAGGAGCTTCCTAGGAGTCTCTGATGCAGGTGCAGGGTCCCAAGGCTTTGGACCATCCTCAGTTTCTTTCCCAAGGCCACAAACAGGAAGCTGGATGGGAAGCAGGGCCGCCTGGATTAGAACAAGCACCCATATGGGATCCCAGGACATTCAAGGTGAGGACTTTAGCCACTAGGCTCTTGTACTAGGCTCAAACATGCTCATCATTTCATCAGGATGTGAATAGTCTTTCATCCAGTCAAGGTCATTGCTGCAGCTTTGCAGAAAGCAAACTCAGGAACAAATTGCAAACCACTATATAACTGAAGACATCTGAGATATTTCTCACCAGTGTTTCATAGATCAATCAGTGTATTTAGTTCTCCTTCTACAGCATTTTGTCAAATGTGGCAGTGCACCCTGGACAAATGCCCTTCTCTTCCCCTAAGCCACAGGACACTACCGCCAGTCTCAGAGCTGCAGTCATGATCACAGGCTCTACCTGAAATAACAATAATGGAGAGACATCAGAGACCCTCATGAAAGTGAAAGGGCAACTGGTCCGTGTGTAAAAGAGGCTCCAGACATAACATGCATTAAAAAGGAAAATCATTAACCTTTTCATGAAGGAAATAAGAGCACTATTTACTGACAAAGAAATTAAATGAAGACAAGAAGAGCAGGCACATGCAACTCAGAATATTGAGTCCCTAAGGCATCACATTTGGCAAGTCCTATCTACAGACTCCTGTCTCTTAATACACAACTTTTAAGATGTTAAAAAAAACAAGCACCTGATAGGATGGGGATACACACACACATGGTGTTTCATTTATAAGCCTGAATGATGAAAACCCCCCGATGCCTGACAGCACTGTGCATTCCCAGGTTTGCCCTTCTGCTTCCACCCGGGCTCCTTGGTGTGTGCACAGCGGCTGACAGTAGCACACTCACACATCACAGAGCCAGTGACGTCAGATGAAGAGAGAAATGGAAAAGCTTCCTGGCTATATAAATTCTTGGTCTTCATCCACTGTCTCTGAGATGAGGTGTCTTCTGCTGCTGAGCAACAGAGATATGTGACAGAAAAGGTTGCTGCAACAGACATGTCACACAGTGAATAATGTCACTGCATTTCTCACCACCAAGGAGCTAACCTGACTGTTCTTTCCCAGTAGGTTTGGAATGTGTTGAACGAAGTACAAGTTTTATCTACCCCTTTCCTTGTGCCTCATTCTAGTAGCCACCGACATTCGCACATAGCATTTTATACACAATAGAGAAGCATCTGCTTTTTCTACAGGGCCACAGCTAACTGAAACTCTTACCCTGACTTGGGAACAGATCTTGTGAGCCTGTATTTAGGTTCTGGGTCTTGGCTCTATTCCTGATGCCTAGTTACTCATCAGCGACACTCTGGGAAGCAGCAGGTGCTGGGTCAAGTCCTTGGGTACCTGCCACCCACACTTGAAACCCAAACTAGATTCCTAGACCACATCTTTGGCCTGCCCCAGACCCAGCCACTGAAGGAAATACAACTGTAGATGGGAGGTTTTCCGTGTGTCTAAAAAATATTATTAAACACAGTTTAAAATTCAGGAGTAGATGACAGAAACAATTCTAGAACTCCAAACTGGCTCTAGTAGCACCTTATTCTTTTCAGATTCTGCTAAGCATTTTTTCAAACCCTGTACAAGGCTCGATCTTGAAGTGATCAGGTACAGAGCTCTGATAAAATCATACTCCAAAATGAAACTTCAAATAACCCTTCCCCCTTGTCTATGGTTTCAATTCCTGCAGTTTTAATTCCTGATATAAACATAGCATGTTAAACTGCTTTCTCTTTGTTCTTTTTATTACAAATATTTCAAATTGTTATTAAATATTTTTGTTCAGTTTTAAGATCACATTTTAAGAACTGCAACATTATATACATGACTTAAATGTAAAAATTTTAGATATCAAATTAGATATATCTTGAAGAAAGAAATCATATGTATATTGACTTCTACTACACATACATCTAAGAAAGCAATTTTGTCAAAAAAATTAAAACCACTTAACACTCCTTTAGATTATAAACTTGTCACATAGGTTTGAATTACTTCCTTACATGCCATAAATTAATAAACCATGGCTTCATTTGATCGCCAGGTCTTAAGTCTTTTGGCAGTTTCAACATAACCAAATCGCTCATGTTTTATTTTGTTTTCTTTGATTCTTTGCTTTCAGAAATTGGCTTGGTTCGCTTTAGAGCTGGTGTAAACATACATGCTATTTAATGGTACAACAATTGTATTGCTTGCTTTCCATTTCTGATGCAATTTCATGCTGTTCCTTCCACTCAACATACATGAATCACTTCTTTTTCAAGCCTAGCCATCCTGTATACACTACCTGCCCAATAGTCACTTCACCATCTGGGTTATCACACCAACTGTTAAGGTGCTGCTTGCACTTGTGCTCAAGCAACCCTTTCTCAATGTAGTGATGACCCAAACACCAGTCTAGTGATTCTGGCCTTTGGAGACACCAAAGAGAGGATATAAAATACTTTCTTTAAGTGAAAAAAAAATTCTCAAATCAATAAAGGAAAAAAACCATTATATGCTATCTTTAGTAAACATGAATGCTCTACTCATAAAATTGTGAAGAAAGAAAATATATAACTATCAATTTTGTCACATCACCACCACGGTGGCTGACAGGAATTAGTTAAGATGGGAAAATATGTTAAATTTTTATGTGTAGACAGGTTGGTATGTACATAGGGGAAGCATAGCACATATTCAGTTCAATACTATCCACTATTTAGGCATGCTCCCTTCCTTTGACTAAACATCATTTGAATGTTTCCTGTGAAGATTTCAAACCCACACTGTCCCTGAACCTAACTTTACCCAGCACTGGCTACACTGTACTTTGCACTGCCACTGCTTATTTAAATGCCTCTCCAAGTGTTCTGAGCTCTTGGGAGGCAGCGATTTTGACCTCATTCTTGCCTGTTTCTCAGGGTTTACTGCAGCCTGGTTCGTGGTTAACCGGCAGTGGGCACCCTCACAAGGCAGAAGTGAAACAGTATTCTAAACTCTGCCCTGATCAGGTCTCCTAATTTTCCTTCAACTTCCTTCTTTTTTACTCAGTTCCTTTTCATTACAATTTATTGTCTTTTCCACTTTCCCACTAACAATCATTAGTAACAGAAAATAATTAGAAGCACTTCTAGCCACATTCTCTAACAGCAGTACTTAAATTTGTTCTTTTTCCTAATGGATAATATGTTAGTGTGATTACCAGTAAGAATATGATGAAAGATAAAGTGAGAAATCGGGGTGAATGCTTACTCAGTTCCCAGGCAAAACAGTAACCATTAGGCAAGGCCTTTTCCAATTGTCACTTTTTCCATATGCCCATTTCTTTTCCTTACCAGAATCTTTCTTCTTCTTCATCACCATAAGGTTAGAACCTGGCTACCTTCTAATCTAGACCACTCATCCACTCAAAAAAATATTTACTGATGCCTTTTAGGAAGGCTCTGAAGACACGAGGAGGAGGATGTGTAAAGGTTCTGCAGTACATGAGCAAAGCACAGTTCCTTAAAGGGGCCATGGTGGATGAAGATGAGAGAGGGAGGGAGACAGCACTCAAAATGGAGCTGGAGGGGCTGGCAGAAGTCAGACCCTACAAGCCCTTGTGGACTATAATGAAGCCCTCCATCCTAGGAGCGAGCAGTAAGGAGGTAGAGCAGGAAGCTAGGGAAGCCATGACAGAAGCTGTACACTGCGTGGCTTAAACAGCACTAACTAGGTTTTCACAGTTACAGAGGCTCAAAGTCCAACATGGCAGCTCTCTTCCTGCCTTGTTCTTGGAGACATATGCTTTCTCATAGTATCTGTACATGCCCTTTCCTCTGTGCTCGAGGGGAAATCATGGCCCATCTCTCCACCCACACATCTACACACACACACACACACACACACACACACACACACACACACACACACACACCCTATCTCTTCAGTTGATAAGGACACAAATTCCCCACAAATGTCCCATCGCATCTCACTGAATTCCCTCCCCAAAGCCTAATGCCTCTCCAAAACCCTCACTTGATGGGGTATGCTTTTCAGGGTACATTAACACTTAGTCCATCACAGGTAGAAACACAACAGGATAGGTCATGCAATTTTGTAACATCAACCCAGATATACTTGGTGTAAAGTCACTTGGCTAAATGAGAGTCCAGCATCACAGCAGGAAGCAGCTCTTGGAATAGGTTGCACTCCTACCATGAAGGCTATTCTCATTTGCAGAACTACAGAATCGTGACAGTCACAAGGCTGGCATGCACAAAAGAACATATGGCTTCTTTTTGCAAAAAATCCTGCATGCCTCAAATCCCAAATTTGCTAATAAAAACATCCTGTTCTCTAAGTGCAGCAAACTCTTTATTGTTGCTGTCCTTTGAGTTTTTTCATTTTGGTTTTTTCCCTTTGGTTTGGTTCCCTGCCTTATACAACATATGACATACTCCACTGGGATTCAATTTTGCAGAATTCAAGAGAAATTTTCCCAGTAAATTGTTTTATAGTTTCCTACAAACTGTTTCCTAAATGAATTACTATCTATTTTTAAGAAATGTTTCTCAACTGAGAACATGCTTAAACCTGTCATTTAAAATTCAGGAAAACAATGTTACTAAAGAAATTCCTAGCTATCACACCACGAAGTACAAAACAAAATGGAAGAAGTACAAGTATTTTTATTCTTATTAACCGCACTAAAAATATGATGAACATGTCAAGACAGAAACCAAATTCTGTCCACAAGGCAAAGTGGCAAAAGAAGGAAGAATATCTTCATGCAAAAATCTGGCACATTATTTCAAACTCAAAAAAATTTACTGTATCTGTAAAACATTTCCTTTGATGGACAGATGACACGTATGTTATACATGTGTGTGAATGTGGAGAGAATCAGAGAGACGGCACTCCTATCCAATGGTTCATGCACCAAAAACCTGCAACATATTTTTAGAATGGATCAAAATTAGGAGACAGGAATTCAACCTCGGTCCCAGTGTGGGTGGAGAGACTTCAGTTATCACTGCTACCTGCCAGCATGCACATCAGCAGATACCTGGAATCATGAACACAGCCAGGTATCAAACCCAGGTATTTCGTATTTTATCTGTCTATGTAAAATTTGGAAATACAGAGAGGATCAGATTGGAAGAGGACGATGGAGGGAAGGAGAAGGAACAGAAGGAGAGAAGCAAAGAAGGAGAGAAGCAAAGAAGGAGAGTGAAGAAGGATGCAGGGAAAGCCAGGGAAAGAGAGAGATGTCCCATCCACTGGTTCACTTTCCAGATGGCTGCAATAACTGGGGTGAGCGAGGTCCAAGCCAGGGGCTTCTTCCAGGTCCCCCACATGGCCCGAACATTTATCCCGCCTTGCACTGTTTCCCCAAGCCATTAGCAGGTTGCTGATCAGAAGAGGACCTACTTGGACAGACTGGCAGCCACAGGGGATGCTGGCATCTCAGGCAGCAGCTTTACCCAACGTGCTGCAACGCCAGCCAGGATCCAGGCATTCTGATAAGAGACATGAACATTTAACTTCTGAGACAATGTCTGCACCTAGAGATAGTTTAATTTTAAAAATGTAATGTATATAACTTAAAACCCACTTATTCTCCCTTTCATGAGAAAAATCATTCTCCTTTCCAACTGCAGTTTTACTCTTTTATATGCTGCATGACTGATTAAGTGTGGACCCAAATGAAGGGGCAGCTGCTTCCATGCATGATGACTCAAGTAAGCCAACTCATGGACAGGAAAAGGGGAGCAGAAGCAAGGAAAGTCAAAGCCATGAAACGGTGTGCTGTACAAAGTGTGTGCCCATTGAGCTGGGCAATGTAGCTCCAAATGCTGGCATCCAGTGAGCTCCCATGTAGAGCACACCTCAGGGTGCTCCTTAGGCCAACACGGAACTATGAGCCTCAATGGCTGGTATAAGTTCTCATTGGCTGAAGGATGTCTGCAGGTGCATCAAGAAGTGAAATGGAGGAGAGACTGAAAGGCAGCCAAGAAGGATGTTTGTGGGATCACATGCATTCCCCATGAGTTAAGGAGGTGAAGCATATGTCCCACATGGCATGCACGAATCTCCTGTATTTAACCAGGATCAAGCAGAGGGAAGTAGATTAGACCCAAAATATTCCCCAAGGTAAACACAGACACATCAGCAAAATGGAGAAGCCTTATGGATTCCAAGTATTTAAGCACAGTGTGTGGCTGTATCAGCTGAAAACTAAACTACTCTAATAGAAGATGCTTCCTAGGAAGTCAGACTTACAAATAAAGCCACATTAATTTCCTGTCATCTGAATATGGTATGTCCACCCGTTCTCAAAGCTACCACAAACTGCTTCAACTCAGGACAAGCTGAACTATGAAGAACACACGTATGTAACTGCTTAGGAAAGTAAGTACAAACTGTGACCAATATACAGTTTTGGCAAACCTGATGGTGGTGTTTAATATGCATCACTAACAGATAAAAATAACTACAAAAAATTACCCATGATGCTTTGATGGAATGCAAACACACTGGTTCTTCCTCAGTAACACTGGAGGCCAGCAGGGAGTCAGCTGACATATTCAAAGTGCCAGAAGAAACTGAGGAAGAACATACACTTCTATTTTTGGAAAAATGTCTCACCAAAAAATATTTGAGAGAAATCTTTTGGGTAGTAAAAATTTTCAGGTAAAGAGTAAGATCAAGGAAGTAACAGCAAGGAAATCTTAAGAGAAGACAATAAGGAAAAAGATGATGTCCCTTGCCAAAAGATTTCTTCTGAAATACACCTTCCTACTAAGACTTAAGCAGAGAAAATGTGTCAAAAACATCTTTGGGTGCTATCAGAAATTAACAGCTCTTCCATCCCCATAGACTACCATAATATATTTCTCAAAATGGTTTGCCAGCAAATCACCCTATATTTAAGCTGATGTATAAAATCATGTTATTTGCAAAAGCAAATCATTAAATCATTAATAAATGCTTATAAGGATGTGCCATGGAAGTGACAGAGGGCAGAATTTAGTGATATGTTAATTACATAAAAAAATCCACAAAAACCCTCTCAGATATTTTATTAACAATGTACCAAATTTTGGCAAAAAGAATAAATACAGAAGATATGTGAGAAGGATCCCTGAGGGGTTGGTGCTGTAGTACACTGGATTAAGCCGCTGAGTGCAACATCAGCATCACATATAAGTGCTGGTTTAAGTCCCTGGAGCTACCTCCAATCCAGCTCTACCCTAATGTGTCTGGAGAAGCAAGGGAAGACACCCAAATATGGGGGCCTCTGCCGCCAACATGGGGTACCCACACAGAGCTCCTGGTGTTTTGCAGTGCATGAGAGATCACACTGGACCCAAGTGTAGGATGTTAGGAGCAGTCTTTATTTCCCAAGCCTGGTGACAGCAACTCCAACCACACTCCAGGAGCCACTGCACCAAGTTGCGACAAAGCCAGTGGTTTTAAGCTCTCATTCTCCAATCAGAGATTGAGAGCCATGCAGTACAAAGCTTCAGCCAGGCAGGGAGTTGCCAGAGCCCAAAGTTTTCCTATAGTTCTTGCAGTTAACTAACCTAAGGTAGCACAACAGGAGGCAGAAGGGCCAGATGGGTGGAGCCTCTGGAGTAATTTCTGCGCTGTCCATTGCTGTGAATGGTGCAGAAGGCAGGAGGGGCAGGATGCACTTTTCGTGCCTTCAATTAACTTGAACAATGTGAGAGAAGCGAGGAAGAGCGGGGAGCAGAAACAGAGCTTCTATGCCCTTTCTACTGTCAATTAACCTGACAAGAGGTGTGTGCCATCATGGTAGCACCCCATTACACTGGTTCCTGGCTTCTGCCTAGCCCAGCTGTAGCCATTGCAGCCATAGCCACTGTAGCCATCCAGGGAGTGAATCAGCAGATAGAAGAATCCTTCCTTCCCTCTTTCCTTCCTTTCTTTTCTTTCTTCTTTCCTTGCTCTCCTCCTTCCTTCTTTCCTCTCTCCCTTATTTCCTTTACTTCTCTAACTATGCATTTCAAATAAATCTTTTCTTAAAAGGGGGTTGGAGGGATTCCAAGAATGCAATACATAAGGGAAGAAAACTCTGATGCAGAAACATAAAATTCAAAATCCATAGACTGTTGATTTAAGCAAATAAAATAAGCTTGTCTTGACATCTGAGAAAACAGCTTTTTGTCTTGTTTACCGTAAGCATGTTTTACGTGTGCTGTTACTGTAGAGTGCTGTTCATGTGTTACTACTGAAGCAAAATTACATTCTTGGTCACTGTTTTAGAGAAAGGACATTTGTGATAGCAAGAGACACGGTGCCCTGGGAAGCTGATGTAAGAAGCTAGCACAAAGAACCAACTCATTCTATTTACATGCCCTGGACAAGCACTGCTGACCTATGCCATCCACATCCTGCTGGAATCCCTGTGGTTTTCATTGGATATGGACATAAATTACTGGTAGAAGAAAATGACTAACATACGAAGAAAACAAGTGGTGATGGTAGTAGCCCCATCTGTTGGTACAGGCAAGTGACCCACAGGTGTATAGATGCTAATGAGGCATTTGATAAACAGAGGGATTTTTGTAATTAACATTTACTGCATATTAATGGCCACAGGGTTTGATTACAAATATGCAATGAATGTCTTCAAGAGGAAATGAATTTTCATGACTACACTGCTAAATTGTTTTCTCCTGAGTAATAGAATATTAACTATATCCAACAAGAAAGTGAGAATAAGACACACACACACGTGTGCGCACACACATACATACATATATACACAAACACATACCCTTGTGAAGCCATGAGAGAGATTTTGCATTTGTGAATAAATGGCACTTTAATTGTAAGTAAAGACTAATAAAGATTACACACAGATTTTTCATGATCATGTTTGCTTTCTCTACACAGATATAAATGAGATCTACGCATAGCTATAATAAAAACAGGAAGTGCCCAAAGCTACTTTCTGCTTATGTCATGTTGGGCAGATTCCTCATCCATGAAATAGACTGTACAGAGGGTCCTTCCATGTGGAGGTATAGCTTTGTTATTTGCTCTTTGCTGCCACTACTGTTTCCTCCCTTGTAGTGTTCATTGGTGCAATGATTAGTGAAGTCAGATTTATGCAAAAATATCTAGTAATTTAAGGTGTCATTTTTTATATTACAGATCTGAAAAATATATAAAATTTTGTTTTGCTTAGTAAGTTAATGGAAACATGGTTTGAATATTGCCTAATGCTTGCCAAGTACTTTATGTATTTGTTAATTTGTAATCTTACCAACATTTATATTATAATGTAATCATATGACAATATTACTGCATAAAGACACAACGAAGAGTATCCTGCTCTTATTTTGCCCACAGGACTTATTATCTGAGACACCATCACCACTTGCAGGAAGTACTATCATTACTGCGATATTACTATTGGAGTCTCACCAGGTCTGCTCCAGTTTCACTGTATTACTTTTCCTTATTAGTGGTCCTATCAGTTAGTGTTCTACCAACAGGAGCTATTTAGTTAGAGAAAAATGACAAGAGATTTATTAGGGAACATGGAGGCTAAGTATCATGGCAGGCTATCTGAAAGCTAGAGAACCAGTAAGCTTAATAACAAGGTTAGGTCCAAGTCCAAAGACCTCAGAACCAAGGAACCCAATAGCACAGCTTTAAATCTAAGACCAAGGGCCTGAGAACTTGAGAAACCGCTGACCCAAGTTCCAAGATCCCAAGAGCTCTGACAGCTAAAGGCAGAAGATGGATATCCCAGTTCCAGAAGAGAGGAAGAAAATACAGCTTCACTTTTTCTTTGCATATCTCCTTGATCTAGGTCCTAAGCCTACTGAATAGTACTTATCCACACGGGGGAGAGCAGAGCTTCCATATTCACGTCACCACTAAAACAGGACCAGAAGCAAACCTAAGGCAATCAAGAAGAAATCTTTACCAGTGAACCCACTAACCCTGCATCCAGTCAAACTGACACCTAAAATTACTTACCATGTGCCCAAAGCTACCCAAACCCAACCATGAACATCTTTGTTCAGTGCATGGGCATGTGATAACACAAAAAATATACCTTTTACTTTAGTTCAGCTAGAATGGTAATAATTTTCATATAATTTTCCTAATAAAACAACGGTAAAGAACATCCAGACAGTAGGTTATATAAAGCGGTTGCAAAATGATACAGTCAGACCTGAAAAGGTAAATGCAGGTTGGGACTCAAAACTTAATCTGTAACAGCTTAACTTTTTAAAAGATTTATTTATTTTTATTGGACAGGCAGATATATAGATAGGAGAGACAGCCTAAGTTTTTAAGTTGATAATTTTGTTTGGTCTGTGAATGATGTTATAATGACCCAACATGCTGTTATAATGACCCTACTCATGCTGTTTAAAAAAAAAAGTAGTTAAGAAAACTGGACATATTCACACAGCAACTACTTAAAACATGAAAAGATATGTACCATTATGCTTAAAGAAAGAAGAAATAAGCCCTAAAACAGTATGATCCTGTTAAAAATACAAAAATCAAAGGAACAATTTTTCAATGCATCTAAGCTCCCTCTGTTGAAAGAATCATAAATTATGAAACTTTTCTTTGGTTTGCTTATTCTTTCCAAAACTAATATATATTACTTTCATAATACTAAAATACACTGTGAAATGATCAAGTTAAGTGGAAACCCATGGACTTGACCACTTCAATATTAATTCCCTAAACCAAGTAACAGGTTGGGTGGGTCTGCATTAAGCAAAATAAAAATCAAAAGCCAAGCAGCGAAGTGAATCACGCTCCCAGTCTCAAAATGCCACATGAGACAGAAACACAGCATGCCACTGAGAAAGGGCAGGATGGCAGCAAGAGGGCTGAGGGAGGAGAGCAGCTGTTCCCTGAAAGACAGACCTCCTTTTTTCATTGGATTCAACCTCTAAGTAACTTCCCCACTTTCGTGAGAAACTTTACCAGGGTCCACAATACACTGCCACTCTGTATATTCAATGTGCTGCTTCTAGAAGACAGGAGAGTGAGGACAACACATTCTACACCTCGATCAACTAACATGGACTCATTTCTAACGGATGACAAACAACAAGGCTCAAGAACATTGGTCAAGAACATTGCTCAAGAACATTGCTCAAGAACTGTTGATAAGACTACATTTTACATCTCTGAAACGATGGAGCACTTTTATAAGTTTAATCTGGAAAACTGGACAGTATATCTTTCATTCCTTACATTTCTCCTATCTCAATTCACCTGAAGTGTCCTAAGAATGAAGGAAAGTTACTTGCTTCCTTTGCCTTTTATGGAGGCAGATGATCATGCACTGAATTCACTTTCAGGATAATTTCTCTGCTGTATTTTTTATTGGGATCAATCTAACTTCATTACAGGAGAAAATGCTGCTAAAATGAAAAATTTAAACCAAAATAATTTTTTTCTATTATTGCTAAATTACAAGATTACTTTAACTGTCATTGGCAGGTTTCTGTGCTTAGTTTCATTAACTAAAA